TTAATTGATGAAAATGAAAATATTGATTCAGATATTGGTGAGAAAAGCAGTCAAGTTATTAATCATAACAATCAATTGATTAATGAAAAAATTATTGTTCCAATGAAAAATGAATCAGAAACTATTGATGATGTTAATCAATTGAAACAATCAAAATCTATTGTTAAATCATCACCTAAGCGAATTTCTAGATTTAATTACTTTAAATTACGAAGGACGTTATCAGAATCTTGGTTTAATTCACAATTTTCATCAAAATCAAATCTAAAATAATTTTAAATCTAATTAACTTTCAACAATTAAACTTAATTCATTCATTGTATTTTAATTGTAATACGATTTTATATAAATGATTTTTTCTATCCAACTAAATTTGAACTAATTTATTTGTTCCAAATTTTATTACACTTTTACAGTTATGATTAGTGAAAATTTCCATTTCTAAACAATTAATAAATTGTCACTGTATCGATTACTTTTGGTAAGAAATTAGAGTTCTTAAAGTTGAATTTGTTTTATTCAGGATTTTCTGATCAATTGAATACACAAATTGACTTCGTTTTTGGAAGTTCAAATGGTTTAAGAGTAAAAAAAGCCATTTAATTGTTCCATTAATTATCCAAAATAATCAAGAGAAATTAAATTTAATTAAATCAACTTTTCGCTGGTAGAAAAAAATCTCCATAGATGTCGCCACTTTTTTCTTTAAATGAGTTTCCCGCTTTTCGGTTTTCGGTTTGAATTTTTGTTTTTGTTTCGTTTTTACTTTGAAAATGTTTTTCTTTTAATTCCCTTCAATTTAATTGACTGATTTATTTTATTTCAATGGATCCAATTAAATTGTTCCAATTAAGGCCCCAAGAACCTTTAAGTCTCAAAGAATTGATGTCATTACTTCATCCAACCCAAGAGATTGACCATAAGTTATTGAATCTCCACCTTGTTGGGTAAAAAAATTTTCATCAGTTGTAAATGTTTATAGATTTTTAATTGTTTCTTATTGAAATTTTTGATTTAATTGTTTTCTCTTTTAACAGAATATTAACTGGTGTTGAATCTCAATTGTTTAAAACTGTGGATGGTTTTATTTATCCAAAGGCTGGAATTAGTTTAATCAATGAGACTGAAGAATGTTCCAAATCTGTTCTATCCAATTATTCACAATTAGGAAGCCGAGTTTCATTTCTTCTTGATTCAATTAATAAATGTCTTCTTAATGAAGAAGACAAAACCCTTTCCCGGATTACATATTCTTTAACATTAAGAGATATTTTCAATCAATGTGTTGCCAAATTACTTTGTGATGCTCATAAATTGGATATGAGACTTAACTATTTCTCCGATTATCTTACCGATGAGAGAAGTGATTTCCTAATGGTCAAGATAAATACTCTCTATGAGATTAATTTAGCTCTAAATGGTGGCCATGATTGTTCTGGTAAAATTTTAAACATTCTCATGGATTTTGTTTACCTTGATCGTATCCACGAGTTTAACATTGTCTCTCAACTTTTAATCTCAACACTCAGGCCAACCCTTGATTATATTGAATCACTTTTAACCAATGGAATCATTAAGGATTGTAGAAGTGAATTTTTCTTCCAAACAAATTGTAATTGTGATCCTGATCATTTCTGGTCAGAAGTGTTACAATTTGACTCAACTAATCCAGTTCCAACCATTTTCAATTCATCTTGGGATTACCTTTGCATGGGAATCAAATCAAGACTTTTAATTTCAATTTTTGAACAACGAAATCACACAATCAAAATTGATTATCCAAAGGGCTGTTTATTTGATCATTTTCTTGATCATTTGAAGAAAATTTATCCACATCCAATATCAATGAAAGACAAGAAGATTCAAGAAGACTCAACATTGGAGGAGAAAAAGTCTAAATGTAAATTGTTACCATTTAAATATGACATTTTAACCATTGGTGATAAATTGGAAAATGATATTATCAAAATGGACCTTAATTTAGATCATGAGAAAACAATTAGTGAACAATATCTTCCCGTTGATTATACTCGACTTGGTATTCCCTTTGAACTTGCCTTACAAAAAAGTCTCACAACAACATTGGAAAAATTCATCGATCCAATTAGCCGATGGGCAATTAACCATTCAAAAGATTCTTATCATATTTATTTGACCACTTTTAATGATTACTTTTTACTTCAACGTTCCAATCCGGAAATGAGACATTACTTTGAGGCCGTTTTTTCCGACATAACCGAAGGTTCAACCAAACCCGATCATTATGTTAACTGGCAACATTATACGTTTACCGAACATGATGTGACCGCTTTTCTATCTCAACAGAAACTGACCACCGGAAAGAGAGTTAAAAAACTTACAATTCTTGAAAATATTCATCTTATTTATGAAGAAATGGATTGGACTTCAAGAGCAATTATCGACAATAGTTCAAAGTTAATCTATGACAAGGCTTTCCAATTTTTACTCCTTCTAACTTACTGTCGTTGGATTTTGGACAATCTTCGACTTCCCCGAGGCATAATTCACAGAGAATCTGGTTACATTCATAAATTGTATTTACTTCGTCATCGATTGTTACTAATTGCTAACAGTTTATACAATTTCATCATGAACAATGTTCATCAACAGGTTATCCAATTGTACCAGAATCTTGAGACTGCCTGTAATTATCAAGATTTAAGAAATTCTTTCGTTAAATTTATCAAAAGAATTGAATTTATCACCATGCAACGAGATGATAACAATTCAAAAATTGTTAGAACAATGATTCGTAAATTTGTACAATTAGTTGATTCGATTGGGATGATTTGGTCAACCAGAGAAAATGAATCATTTAAATTACCTGATAAAAGTGAAATTGATAATTTTGATAAAGGATTTAAAATCTATCTCTATAATATATCCTTTACAAATGATCATAATGTGATAAAAACATACAATTCAAATGACAATTAAAACGACAATTAATGCAATCAAAGTTTTCCAACAACAATTCCTCCAAAACGTTGATCCCCTCAGAATAATTTTTTGTTACAAACAATTAACGCCATCTAATTATGCAACAAATCCACAGGTCAAAAAATTGAAAAAAAAAAGAAATCATAAAGTTAATCAACACAATTAAAACTAATCCTCAACCCAAGAATTTAGATTAACATTGATAAAAGTTGGAAGAAAAAAAAATCCGCTTAATTTAAACTCTCAACCAGATGAACACATTGTCCATTTAAACCAATTAGTTAATTAGCTTAATAAGTTAAGACAAAACCGTTTATCCGATTGATTAATTACCATTGATTGGATTGTTTTTCTTTAGAAAAGAAAAAAAAAATTCTAAATCAGATCAATTTCCGAGTATAAATAGAGTTGGTTGAACAATTTGATTTCCATTGAACATTTTGCTCTTCATTGAGACTCATTCATTTTTCCCATTTGTTTACATTTTCTGTCTGTTGTTTATCATTTTCACTCTTCATTTAAATTGTCATTTTAAATTAATTTCTTCCCAAATTATCAACTAATCATCTTTATTAATTAACTGTTTAAGTGTATAACTTAATCTAAATCAATAATTGTCCGTTTTTCTTCATCAATTGTTGATTTTTTTTTTGGTTTTTTCTTCTTATCATCTTGAATGGATTAAGGATGTCTAAGGCTACCAAACGTAAATATGTAACCAAGGAGGTTCTTGAGACTTACTTTGTTCCTGAGGAACCAGCTTATATTGTTAAGGTTTGTGATCAATTGTTGGTTAATTGTGTCCAATCAAGTGTTAATTATTTGTCTTTCAATTGTTTAGGTGATCGCTAGTCGAGGGAATAACTTACACGAGGTAGAATCACCTGATGGAGAGAAGTATCTTGTTAGTATGCCAACAAAATTCCGTAAAAATGTTTGGATTAAAAGAGGTGAGATTTTCTATATTTTCTTAATTGTTTTCTAATTATTGTGGTTTAATTGTTTTCTGTTTTCCTGTTTTAACTTTAGGTAACTTTATTGTCGTTGAGCCCATAAAAGAAGGTGACAAAGTGAAAGCTGAAATTGTCCAAATCTTGTTGAAAGATCAAATCAAATACATTAAAGAAGAAGGCAAATGGTACAATTAATTTAATTTTCTTTATTCTTTTCTATAATTATAACCATTTACTAAATTGTTGTTCTTCTCTATTTATTAGGCCTACACGTTTTGAAGACGAAAAAGACAAAGAATCATCTGATAATGATAATGGCTTATTCTCAAATCCTAATCGACAATATGACGAAAGTGACTCCGATTCTGATTCTGATTCTGATTCCGATTCCGATTCAGATGCTGAATCATCATCAACATCACCTGAAGATGAAGACGAAGAGGAATCATCAAGTAGATCATCTGAAAGTTAATCACTTTTGTCAATATTGTTTTATAATATTTGATATTAATACAAATCTTAAGACAACCACAATTATATTAACTATTACCCTCTCATTTGAACCTAATATTTTACTCGACTACCAACCCAATATAACATCAATTAACCATCAACATTTAGTTTCATACCTAAAACAATTAACTTATCACAATAAATTAACAACAATTAAAAACAATCAAGTGAAACTCAATGATCAATAATCAACACGCGGATAAAACAACATGAGATTAGCTCAAAATCTTAACCGGTTTTTTCAAAAATCTCTCAAATTGTTACAATCAAAACCAAAATGAAAGAAAATAATCATCATAATGATTAAGAAACGAATTGATAATTTGATCAATCACAACAATCGAAACAATTAATTTAAGAAATGAGAGATAATGAATAACGACCACTCTTGATACGTTTGAACGGTTAATGTACCGTTAATTGTTACGATATTTTGATTAATCAACATGAGGGAAGAAGAAAAAATCGCCTAATCATTTAATTGTTGTATTCTAATTGTGGTTAGCAATTTAATCAACCTTGAATCAACCGCTTAATCATTATAACCAAAAATCCTATAGATTTTTTCATCTGTCATATTAACATTTTATATCATTGTCTTCGTGGTATCCATATGGTTATTTAGGTTGCTAATTGTAATCAAAAGTTGTTACCCAGTTAATCAAAATTCAATCGTTAATTGTTACAATATAAGTTAATAAACTACAGAATGTCCAATGTTAATCTCGATAATCAAAGTAAACAATTCCAAGAAGCTTTTAATGAGGTAAGTGAAATGCTGAGATTTTCATGTAAACAACAATTGATTTTATCGAAATCGAAGAGGAAAATTAATCAATTAGATCACATTGCTTTTCTCTCAATCAAATTTAATTGTTATCATTTGTATTTTACTCTAATTGAGAATTCAGTTTAATTTCTCTTTAAATCCAGATTAGATTAAATTCCCACTCCCAGTGAGATATTGTCGATATTCATTACATGATAGTAAACAAACAAATCGAATGAAATTTTTATTCTTCTTCGAGTTTTGATTAAATGAATCTTTTTATTCTAATTAATTGTTAACTGTTAACTATTCTTTATTTTTCTTTATGTTTTCTTTCATTTTTGACCTTTTAATCGACGAAAATAGATCAGCAATTTACGATGTAAATTAGATTCTAAAGCTCGAGCCTCAGTGATTCTAAGTCAAGATCTACTTGAATGTAAACGAGAACGTGATGAATACAAATTGATGTACGATCAAATTAAGGAAAGATATGGTGGACTTAAAAGGCGAATTGAAGGTTTGGGTGCTAATTTCATGGGAATTAACGAAGATCCAAACAATTTAACCAGTGCCAGTTTCGCTCAAATTTTGTGCCAATTAAACAAACAGAACAAAATGTTACTCTATGAATTGGAAGAGGTTAAAACTAAATTAATCGACGCTGAAGGTGATGTCCGATTGCTCCGAGGACAAATTAACTCAATGAAAAGAAGACCCGGACAATTAGTTAATCTACATTTAACTAACAGTAACAATAATCCAATGACACCACCACCATCATCATCAACAACAACACCGATAACAACAACAATCAACAATGGCAATAATAGTAATCACAATGTCAGTAATTGTGGTAACAATTTATCAAGTATCTGCAGCAATAAAGGGACCAATTTAAATAGTGATTTGATTGATAAAAATGTTGGACAATCAACCGATTGTCCAACACCAAGTTCACCATTGGTGGTGACAACAATTAACTCCTCATCGATACCATGGATTAAGGATAAAGATGATAAGGAATCACTGGTGGCACAATTAGAGATGATTAAACAACGTAATTGTTTACTCGAGAAGGACATGCAATCACTTCTCGATGAAAAGGAAGAGTTAATCATGATTAGAGATGCTTATAAGGCGAAAGCTGAACGGCTCAATGGACGATTGAATAATTTACTTCGAGAGCAATCAGATGATCAAAGTGGCGATAATATCAATGATACGAAAACTGTTGATATTGACAGTTTGATCAATGAGAATAATTTTCTTAGGGAGAAAATATCACAATTAGAGGAGGAAAAGAAAAGATTGAAAAGTTTATGTTCCAAATATCGAAACATCCTCGAAAAGTCAACCCCGTCGACATCGAGCTCCATGTTTTCATCGTTGAAATCGTCGTCATCATCGGATTCTAAGTCTAAATTGTTGGCTGATCATCAAGCTCTTTCCAATGTTATCTCATCCAAACAGGTTCAAGCTTTCATCGCTTCCAACAATTTAAATAATCTTCAACTATCTCAGGCCACTTTGGTTCATTTGAAGAGTTTGGTAATCGCTCTGTTTGAATCGTTAACTGATAAATCATCGGCTCTCGCTTTGCAGAGGAAAAACAATCGACTGCTTGGTGAAAGATTAGAGGAATTAGAGGAAAAGATCAAACAATTAAAAGCTCGAGAAAAAGTTTTCTTTCTAATGAAGGATAATATTAAATCGGAAATGTATCATCTCGAAGATCTTGATGATATAATTGTCAATTCTAATAACAATCAAAACGAACCATCGTCTTCGTCATCAAACTTTCAATCAATTAATAATAATCAACAATCTTCTGAATCTATAAGTGGAAATTGTAATAATGTTACTGCTAAATTATCTGATGAAATTGATGAAATGAGTGAAAAAAATGTTAATTGTGATGGTGAAAATGATGAAATCCAATTACCAAGTAATTTAAAAGCATTAGTTGAAGGGGAAGTTGAAAAATTGAAACAAAATCAAGATAATTTATAATTAAAACGCTTAATCAATAATAATTGACTCCAATTGAATAAAAACATTTTTACCAAACATAAATTTAGATCCAACTTATTTGATTATAATCAAGAGAAAGAAATTTAAAAAAAATCATTAGGACCAAATTTTCATTTAAATTATCAAATTTCTTCAAATGCAATGATAAACATACTAAAGAATCCACTAGATGGCAGCAGGTGCACTTCAAAGATGAAAGTCCTATGAATAAAATTTGGTTTAAGAATGAAGGTTTCTAGGGCCTCCGTGGCGCAATCGGATAGCGCGTTTGGCTGTTAACCAAAAGGTTGGTGGTTCGAGCCCACCCGGGGGCGGCCTAATTTTTTTCTCTCCACAATAACAATTAATCTAATTGTTTTTCCATTTTTGCTTCAACATTGATATTAATTAAATTGTCTCTTTTTGGAATCATGTTCAATGTTATTAAATTTAATTGTGTTTAATTCATTTAAATTAAAGAGAACTGACAAATGTGAGTTAATGGCTGATTGTAATTTCCAATAGAAATGGTTAATTAATTTGTTGAGGTTTTTTTTTCTAATGAGAGGTAAATTGTATTAAAGAGATAATTGTGACAATTTCAATTTTGTTGGTTTGATTGTTTTTGTTTATTTTGCTGATTCGATTTTAATTTGTTTCCGTTTGATTGTTTTAGGTGAAAATCTTTTAATTGTTGGCTTGTATTGAACTACCTGAGCTCTTCGGTTAACCCAATTGTCTTTGATTGACTGATAAAATTGAGGAATAGATCGATTGATCAAAGTGAACATTTGATAAGCACTAAAACCGAACCAAACACCGATAACACCGCCAATCGATGCAAAGAAATATTCGTAAGTTTGAACTGGTGTAGTTCTAATTAGAGTATCAGATTGTGAGGGAGGATAAATTCTCATCTTGATTAATTTCATTCCAGGGGAAACTTGTCGAGCGGAAGTGAGGCCAATCATGTTGTACATTTCATGATGACACTCGACAAGTCCACAAATCGATGAGCATTTTTCACTTAACTGTTGAATCAGCGGTTGATAGATTAGCCTTTTCTCATGAGAAAAGGCCAGAAAATGATCATCAAATGAACGAACAGTAAAATACCAAGGATAATAATTGGAGATTTTCATGAACTGATTCAGTGAACAGTTTTGGAGACAATTTCGTCGTGATCTAAATTCTGACCTTGAATAATCAGTACAATTACTTTCATAGGGCTCAGGTAAAGATAGATGAGTGATCTTCTGATAGGTAAGTTCTTGGATAATATACTGATTGTCTCCAATAATCAATTCCTTGGTTCCAGTTTCTGGATTCCAAGGAACATCAAACTTTGGATGGGCCAAAATGTCCAATAAAATGTTACCTTGGAATCGAGTTAAATTCAATTCGATAGAAAGAAATTTAGTATTTAGAAAACCGGGAATTTGGACTGAACTTGAAGGGAAAACGGGTACTAATTGATTAGGTGTTCGTTTCTCTCGAAAAGAAAACCAAACAAATTCGAAGCAAATTTTCTGCGAGTAAAGATAAACCTCGAAAAATGAGTGATCACATCGAAGAAGAGTCAAATTGTTGGAGAGATAATGACAAGAGGTGAGAAGATTATCCAACTTGGGAAGTAATGAGATAATCTCAGAGATTTTCAGATTAGGATAAACAACTGCAGGTCCATGGGTCAGATCAAGAATCAGGGAGTTTTCATCATGGAAAAGACAGTCGCCTTTTTTGATACACTTTTCGAGTGACAATTTAGCGATTAAGGCCACGTCAGGTCGAGAGATGAATAATTGAGTTACGTTGATTAAACCGAGAGCATTGAAACAGAATGAAAAATCCGGTGGATTAATTTGTTTGCACTTCTCTTGACCAGTAGATTCAACTACCTCGTATTTGAAATATTCACTGGCCAATGATTTAATTTGAAGAGAGCAACAGATTATACAGATGCAAGTGATTAACGTTTTCAAAAAATCTCTAATTAGGTTGATTAAGAAAATCACTCGATTCTATCAATAATCAATAGGGAGAGAAATAGAGAGGAAAAACAAGAAAATTACAATTAGTGAATTCGGTGAAATAATTAAATTCGAATGAAATTAAAACTTTGATTACTTTCGATTTGTTGATTTGATCGAAAATTGATTTCTTTTTGATTGAATCAAATGATTGATATTCGCTAATCACTGGGATCCATTCCTGATTATTCAGTTGATTAGTGGTCATCTTTTTGGGTGGAACTCGTTTTATAAACAATTGATTGTCTTCCTTAAACATGATTGACTTAATTACGAACTTTTTATTATTATTAATTCTTCACAATTAAATTGGTATTAAAATTTGTTCCCTATGTGTAACCAATTGGACAATTAAACTGAGTTAATTTGGTGGAAATAAATTGTCACCTCTCTTCAGTTTGCTATTCACCGTTTTCTTTTAGATTTTGATTAATGAAAATTTTGATTAATTAATCATCAACCTAAATGATTACCTTTTTGTATTGTGAAACTTTTGCAAATTTAACTGATCAATTGATGACGTTTGCAACTGTTAATCAATTGGAATCAATAATTGTAATGGACAATCAATTGATTTTGTTTGTTGAGTTTTATTGGCACTGAATTTCAGTAACTGATATTAAGGAGGTAACAAGATTCCCATTAAGTAATTGGTTGATTGTTGATTGGTCAGTGGACGATTAGAGTTGAAATAAACCCTTTTCTGGGACACTTTTAAAATGGTCGCCGATACCAGAAAATTTGAACACCGGTTGGAATCCTGGTTTCTTGGGAAACAATCCCGAAGTCGGTGGTGGCCCGTTGAAGATTTGGTAGCCTTTCGTTGGGTAGGAACCATAAAAACTTGGGACCTTTTGACTTTCAGGGTGAGACTGTAAACTCTTGGCCCAATCAGTTACTAATTGTAGGTAAATGGTTAACAATTAGAGAAGAAAATTAATTTCAATCAATTTAATTACCTGGATTGTTATCGATTGTAATTCCTCCTGGATAACCAAAGCCTCGTTCCGATGGTACAACCGATTGGGTTAAAAATGATTGTGACGATTGTGGTTCCAAAATTTGACTGACCCCTGAGTGACCTGGTGATGATGATTCGTATTGTAATTGTGGTACCTGAGGGTGTGGTGGTAGTGGTGCCGATTGTGGTGGATATCGTGACCTGGGTCTAAGTAGATTAGCGATCGTGGCATAAGCGATGATCGATAACATTGATCCATCGATTGGACTCAATAAGAAACAAAGGAAAATGAAACAATTAAAGATTAACAATTGATTAGATTTCATTGATTATCAAAAATTATTCTAATTCTTCAAACAATTAATATTTTTGATGGAAAGAAAACTTTTTTTTTCAATCAAGTGATCCAATCAAAATCATCATTTCAAATGATCAACTAATCATATTCATCAAATTGATAAGTTCCAATTAAATTAAATCAAACTGCTAAATAATTTTAATTGTTCCAGATGATTTGGTTCTGATTAATTGGTAAGTTTTTAAGTATCGATATGAACAATTTATTTTTAGTCTTTTCTTTTGATTGTTGTTAATAATCATTAATATCTCTCAATGATTTAATTTAAACTTTAACCACAATTTAATTGATCATTTGTGTCCATTAACCATTTTAACAATTACATTTAATTTAGTAAACATGATAATTAAAATGAGTTTATCTTCACAGCTCAATAATCAATGAAACCGATTAACGGATGAACTTTATTTTTAACAATCAAAGGTAACAATTTAAATCACCAATTTAACGGAAATTATTGTTAATTATAATTACAATTAGAATTAGAAAAAAAAAATCAAACCAAATTGTTCATCTACTCAATGGTAACCATTGGTTTCGTTTTGTTTTGATTTGATTCACAACTGATTCCAATGTAATAATCAGTGTTTATTGTTGGGTATTTGCAGTTAATTGTTACAATTAAAGATGTCGGAAAATGAAGTGATTAAGAAAAACAATTGGAGTCAAACTGAAAAGTTGAAAATATCGGAAGTGTCAACACAAAAACCGGAACATGTTAATTCATTTGTCCAAACGATTTGGTCAATTGTTGATCAATCATTTCAATCCTCGAGATTATCATTGACCAAAGGATCAGCTGGACAATCAGACAGAACAATTAAGATTGATTATCATCGATTACATAGATTTCTTCATCGATCAGTCCATTAATCGAATCAGAGATTCGTGATAGTTGCCAATTTGATCAATTATCTTCATCGTGGTTAAACTATTGGAATGGAGCCTCAGGTAAAGGTATTAATTGTGATAGAAGATTAAATTCAAAAATTTTAGATTATCTGATTAGTGAGATTAAATCATCAACTTTATCTTCGAGTTTAATTATCTCCGGTATCACATGGAATTCACCACAAACCACCCTGGCTGTTGTCTACCGGGTATCACGACATTCTGATTGGTGTATTCATAAAACTTTTCTACTATTATGGAATCTATTTTCTCGTCGAAATGATTCCAATAGTTCAAGGCCAATTTACGCTTGTGAGGTCGATAATTGTATCACCAAGTTAATTGCTCATCCATTTAAAGGGTCAATTTATGTTCTTGGTTGCTACAATGGTAATTTAATTGTTATTGATACTCGACTTTTGGAAAATTTATCATCATCGACGTCAGATTTTCTGGTTGATTTACCGATTTCTCATCGATCACCGAATCGAGGTGATCTTCATCAGGACGAAATTATCGCACTTCATTGGTACAAAAGGTCGGGGAGAGTTAATCTTGACGAGGAAGATGAATTGATCAGTTTTTCTCTTGATGGACTAATCGTCCGATGGAAATTGCAATCAACAATCAAAACTAAATTACTCGAACCTCTTGAACTGTTCAACATTATCCTTTCCGATTTACCCAAATCTATGGGGCTGAAGGAGACCCTTGGGCCCTTTAACAAAGGAGTACCCGTTTTATCAACCACATGGGAGCCTGATAATGAATTTGGATTCATCGTCGGCTGTGAGGCCGGTGCCGTTTTCAGATGCTCTCTTAACGGTAATTTAAGATCAACCGAAGGAACTCCTGATAGCACAATCAGACCTTCCGATTGGTTGCCGATTAAAAATCCAATCGTAATGTCCTATGTCCCTCATCGAGCGGGAGTGACCAATGTCAATTTCTCACCAAATTTGCGTAACATTTTCATCTCTTCGGGTGCAGACAATGAATTCCGGGTTTGGGATGTTTTTCAATCGAAACCATTGTTCGTGGTTCATTGTGATCTGAATATCATGTCCACTGTTTGGTTAAATACTCGACCTGTAATAGTTACCGTTCAAGACGATGGTTTCATTTGTGTCTACTCAATTAGCACCAAATCAAAGCCAAAATTAATTCACCGATTCAGTTTGGAGGAAAGGAAATCAGCTCGATCGATGTGGAAAAACTTAATCAACCATGATGATCAAATCGCAATAACTGATGAAAATAATACGATTCATCTTTATTCAATTCATTTAACCAATGAAAATATAATTTCGGATCAACATTAATATACAACAATCTAATTGACTGTCACAGTTGGGAGTACAAAATATTGATCGAACCATTGATTATCCAAAGAGAAGGAAAATTTGCTGCTAATTGTGAGAAATACTAAAATCACCTTAGCAAATATGAGATCTTTCATCATTGTATCGTATAAATTGATGGGCACAACAAACGCAATAAATTCAGATCAAAGCTTATGGACAATTCTGATCAAAGTACTTTGGAATGATAGACAATTAAGGTCGATCGGAACAATCACTTTCATATCACATGTTTTATAATAAGAAACTGGATAAAACTAGAAAACGATAATGACTTAATCGGCAATTCAATCGAGAAATTCATGATATTTATATTCGACAATATCTAATATGATTCGTTATGGTTAGATTGTAATCTTAATCATGATGATTTCTGCTAATGAAAAGATTATCTTAAGGACTCACAAGCGTTCAAGAGCTTAATATGATGGTAGAACTTAGAGAAATCAATTAAATTTTACGCTGATCCAGTTACTATTTCTTTGATTTATTAATTATTGTATACAAAGAGAGATTCTTTTTCATCGTTTGTGACATTAATTAATTTTTCTCGCGATTTTTCAACATTAATTTTATACGTTTGTTAACTACATTGTAATATATTCAACTTCGATTCGAACCAAGTTTGCGAAATGTTTAAAATGTTGCTTAAAACTTTTGTAACGAGTAAGTAATCAACTGAATCGACTTTTTTGCTTTCATCATACATTGAATTTGATGATTAATTGATTTCTCAATCTATCATTACCTTAGTGCTTCTCAGTCAATTACTTGTTGAATCTTTACGTGAACAAGATTTTCGAAAAGTTTGGATAAATATTATCAAAAATACTTCTCATACGCTTTTTACATGGCCAAATTGAACATCGAATTGATTATCTCACCGAAATTAACCAGCGTTATCCTTTTACTACTGAAGAGGTTTTATTCATAAACACAACGATTGAATCAATGAAATTACTGAGCAATTTCATTCCTAGAATACTTTCAACAATAGAAACTGACTCTAAGTACGAAATCTTAGCCAAAATTTACAACGGAATGGTGGAACAATTTAACAACGAATTCAGTTCAAAGTATAAAAGTATCGTAGAAATTGATTTTCTCAGTCCAACCATATCACTTAATCTTCTTGATGACAATTCCGAAACAGTTGAATCGATTAAACAAAATGTCTTATACTTGATCGATTCATATTCTTATGACATTAATCTCTTACTTAAAAACAGAGCACAAGAGGGAACGAGAGCTGAATTATCTAGATTTTGTTTGGATAATTTAACTTCACTTCGCAGTGAGATCGAAAATTTCTCCCAGGTCTCCGGAAGTTTGTCCTTTAAGCGTTTCAAAGCTTTGCTACGACGATTTGATTTAATTGTTCTTATTGCTACCGGTTGACTTTAACTTGCGACTCAATTGATTTTCTGGACATGGTCAGGGAATATTTGAATATTTTAATGAAAGAAGAAGAAAATTATAAACAATAGCATAACAGCTACAATCAGAAACGATTTACAATTAACTAGTTTGAAGCAACAAACGTCCGAATTGTTTGTTGATATTGAATGTCCATGTAACTTTCACTTTAATTACTTCGAATGACAATCATGTTAATTTTGTAAAAAACTCTCCTTTTCTGTTAATTGCTGCTGGAAATAAAAACAACAATTAAGTTGTAAGGATTATCTTACTCAATGATTAACTTAATCAATTGTCTCATTGCAATTTCTATATGAGATAATATCTCTCACTCATTGATGAACATGTTAACTGATTTGGTCAATTGTTGATCAATCATTTCAATCCTCAAGATTATCACTGACCAAATGATCAACTCAGTTGATTATTTTAAGAGATTTCTATCAATTGGTTAACTGTTAATGGATTAATTAATGTCAAAAGGATAACAACAATCAAGGTGAAGTGATTAAACAGAAAGCGTTTTAATTAACTCGTTAAGATTTATATTAAAGATAAATTGATTATACGGAAGAAAATTGAAATCTAAATTAAGATTAAATTACAGTTCAAATTGTAAACTTGATCAAGTTAATTGACAATTTTATCAACTAATCATTAGAGATGAACAACAATTATAACCCAATCTATTGAACCAACTCATTGAGAGTAATTAATAAAGATAAACAAAGTCTTTTATTACCTTGTAAGCAATTTAATTAACAAACGATACCTTTGGTTAATTAATCAATAATTAACCAGCTAATAGTCTAATGATATAAAAGGCAAAATATTTCTATTAATGAACAACAATCAAGGTAAGAAATCAATTGAAATTATTTTCCCACAATTATTGGGTAGAAACCTACAATTAAATCAATTGATTGGCACAACAGAATGTTAATTGTAACGATTAACCCATAACATATTATTAATAATAGTCAAATGATTAAGCTGTTGAAGCTTTAATCACTACATCGTTGTTAGTTATCAGGGTAATTTGATTAATGACAATTAATATTTACTTTGTTTCTGTTTCTGATTCTTCAGCACTAATTGTCAAATGATTTACATAATTAGGTATAAATTAATAAATGAAATATTATTTATATTTTATTTATATTCAAATGATTATCATCTTTGGTGGTGAGGTCAAGGAGACAGGCTTGTTGAGTGGTTCGGAGTTGGGATTAAGTGGGGTGGTTGTAATATAATCTACAAATATATATATAAATACAAGTGATTTAGTATTCAATTTAAATTGTTGGTTGATTTGTTAGTTTTTTTCTTCTCTCGGTGATGTAAAAAACAATTGGAATATAATTTACTCTTTTGACCAGACCACAGCTACAAGGTGAGCAAAAATTGTTGGAGGGAAACATATTGATGAAGGAGGAAGAGTTTATGATGATGGAGGTGACGGTGGGTTGTGAGCGGTGGTGATGATGAGTTAATTGTGACCGAAACAAAAGGTTAATTGACACTTTTAGATGGGAATCGCGACTCAATTCAAAGGGATTTCAATGTCTCGTCTATGAGAGTGAATCTTGTCTATGGTTGAACTAAAAAAAGTATTGGTCAGTTTGGAAAAGTCGATTGTGCTTCAGTGTTTTTATCTTTTCCTTTTCCGTTTTTGCGTTAATTATTTTCCAATCTTCATCTCTGTCTTTCTCTCCTGATGTGTCAATGTCACAATGATAATCAAAAAGCAAACACAAAGGTTTTATCTGATTGATAATAATGACGGTGGTAAATTGTTATGATGATCCAGGATTAATTATGCTGATAAAAATATTGATAATCTATCACTAGAAAAAAAAGAAATGAATTATTATTATTGTGTAATTGTTGTTTATGAATAGATAATAATTACTTTGCTTAATATTGACGAGATAAAGTTGAAGGTGAAAGTAGAGAGAGAGAGAGAGAGAGAGAGATGATGAATTAAATCATTAATTCATTGTGAACAATCTTGATTGATTATCGGTCTTGATGGTCTAATTTTCACTTCCTTTGCCTTTTTTTTCGTAATCAGTTAAATGTCCGAGTTGGTGAACAATTTGAAATGTTTCCGTCTTGATTGTTGTTGATTATTCATTAATTTTCCTTGTTTATCGGGCAAAAACTTTGATGCTTCCACTAAAATCAGCCACTGCGATAATGTATTTAGCTTTATCATCAAGGTAAGATGGGATTGGAGCAAAAGTCGCTGAGGTAACAATGGCCGGTTGATTTTTTGAAGCTTGGCCTGGTCCAACGTTATTAGAATTCAATCCAGATTGTTGAGCTTGTGGACTGGGAGGTAATAAACGGACACATTCCCATTGAGCATTTCGATCTCTCCTTTGTCCAGTTGTTGTCTCTTCTCGAGTTCTCCAAACATAGAAAGATGAATTCTCACTACCACAAACGATATACTTATTATCGGGTGAAACGGAAGCTCGAATTTGACTCGAATAATTAACGCAACCCTTATATTTACATTCAAGAGTTAAATCTCTTAAATCGTATAAACGAATCCGTGAATCATTGGTGGTAACTAAAATTTTTCTCTCAGCGACACCTTCAATTCCGGTCACTTTATTACTATTTCGTTTCTTTTTCCTTTCGGTATCGGTAACACTGGAAACGTTTTTACCTCCACTGACATGGATCTGAGTTGAATATTTGAGTTGATCGGTTGAGTAAAAGATAACTCGACCATCATAAGTACCAATCACGGCAAACTTTCCATTCTCAACGAAAGCCGAAGCAGTAATCAGTCCATGTGATGGTGTCATCTCTTGATTTGATTTATTGGATGACTTTTGACTGGCCGCACTTGGAGCCATTACCTCGTTGAAAAGGGTCAATCTTTTATCGGGAATATTCCAAAGACGAAGGACACCATCAAGTGAACCACTGAGAAAGTATCGATCATCGCGAGGATGAAAATTGATCGTGGAAACAAAATCTTTATGACAAAAGGTACACAGACACTCGACTCTTGTGATATGCCAAAGTTTCACCGTTTTGTCCATGGACGAAGAGAGAAGGAAATTATTCTTTGACCATGAAATGTCCAAAACATCAGCGGTATGACCTCGATAAACGCTAAATAAAAGTAACGGATCTTCTTCGGCTAAACTGTTGTTGTCTTCTTGTTGTAAATTATTTCTCGATCTGGAATCACTTAGACTATGAACATTTTCTGAACTGGAGATACTATTGTTCCGTGAATTGTTTACAGATTTTTCTTTGGTTGAATTGGGTGAAATTTGTTGACTTGAGGCTTTACTACGAGCTTGAGTAAAATGTTTCCATGATTTATGGCTACAGTAAACTCGTAATAGTTGATCTTGACCAGCAACCGCTAATAGTTGACCACATGAGCTCCATTTCATACACCAAACTGCTCCACGACAATCGTTCAACTCTTGGATTAACCTTAAACCTTCAAAATCGGCAGCATCTTTTTTACGATTAGTTTTTAATTTAAACGATGGGAACAATAGATCATGTGGATCAAGATTCAATATTCTTGGATCAATGGTGACAGAATCTCTATAAAATTTAGTATCACTACTTGTTGTCCCACTGGCCACTGCTAGAGTACCTTCACTAGCTCCCAATGCTCCTCCTCTCACATTTTTAACACCCTTAATGAATCCATGGCCAAATTTGCCTAATTTTTTGACACCTATTTTAAATGCACTTGTTTTTAAAGTTGTTCCAGGTTCATCACCTTCCTCTAATGTTGTCGGTTCTTCACTTGCCTGAGGCTGTGATTCATCTTCATCGCTCTGATAATCATTAGCAAGTTTAGATAGATGAGGATTCAAGGGGTTGATGCACTTTGGTAAAATATCATCAGCCTGACTTAATGATCGGCACTCACCGGTGTCCTTATTAAGTAATGTTACCTGATCAAGTATTTTAGTCTCGTCACCTAAATCATCTTGATTTGATTGTTGCTTTTGACTAATCTGTAAAAGTAAATCAAACATTGACAATCAGAAACAATAGTTAAACAATAATAATAACAATATATCCAATTGAGAGGAATGAAAATCGATTAAAATTCAAGCAAAAATCTAATAAACTACTGACCCCATCAAGGAATCCTCTTGTTTCCAGTTTAAAGGCGAAGTGCGGGAAGTAGTACCGTCGGCATTCACATCAACGGGAGGAAATTCATGCTATTTTCATTTAAAGTGAACAATCAAACGCAGGCAATTACATAATTTCATGATATAACAGGAATCGAGATGAAACGAGAAAAATAAATTACGATAAATAAAAAAAAGATACCAAAAGTTGATGCAAGATTGAATTTCATAACAGGGAAGAGGAAGATGGGAGAGAGAGACAATTAAAACAATAGTGTATTTGGAAAACATGGAAAAGGTTGGGTAAATGAAGATGAGTAAATTTCAGAACAATGAAAGATTAATTGTTGAAGCAATTTGACACTTACTTTTAATTGATTAAGCATTTGAATCTCTTCTTCAAGAGCTTCTTTAAGCTCATCGGTGGGAAGTTCAGCATTTGAAGGAGCTGAAATAGTGCTACTATTGGTACTGATTCCGTCCGAAGAGGGTTGAGCATCTTTACTGTTTAAATCCAACACATGAAGAGAGAAAAACAATTAATTGTATAATTAGATGAAAATAAATTAAGTGATTTCAAACTTAATGATATAAAAAAAAAGTCTAAATGATTTCCTGATTACTTATGAGGGGAAAGAGATTCTGTTCATCCGTAGAGATCAATACAGGTAAGGAGGATAAACACCAATTACCTCAGGATGCTGATGGTTAACGATTGATTGTAAACTATTTCAATTGTTCAATTTTAAGGTTGGAAAGATGATATAATGAGAGAGAAAAAATCGAGATGATCAACTGATTGTTTACCTTTTGCCTTTTTCAATATCTTCAATCGCTTGTAAATGTTGTTCAAGTGTTTCCAATAGAGATGAAGGTGTTTTACTTAAATTTGGAATTTCTGATTTATCGATACCAATACATTCAGCGACTCTCATGAATTGTGCAGATCGATCCATGCAGATGAGAAATTTGGTGTAAATTTCAAGAACATCTCGAAATCGTTTTTGATTCATGTCGAAAAATTTTTCCAATAGAATAATAATACCATCATTGTAACAAGCGAAAAGTCTGATCAGGTCTTTAAATAGAAGCATAAACGTCGAATGTAAAACTTCATTGGTTAGTTGATCGGCTGGACAATCGAATTCAAGTAGACCATCAATTTGACTTTGAAGGACAGTTAATGTGTTCAACAATTTAATCGGTGGCATAGTGTGTAAAATGTCCTCTTTCTTTCCTTGTTTGATTTTGGCGAAATCGAAAGAAACAGTTCGATAAGATGAGACTTTCTCATCGATATATTTGGAATATCTTTTTATATAAGTTAACATATCGTGGCCCTTTAGGCTACATCTATCGAGTAAATTGTCGAATTGGAAGTTACAGCTATTCGATGCTAAGTACTGGGTAAAATTCTAGATTCAAAATCAATATTGAAAAAGAGAGAAAGAGAAAAAAATAAAACGATAATCAGATTAGTGACACATTTAACAAGGTAAAATGCAAGTGGAATCAAATATATTATTGATAAATTGTATTCAACAATTTAAATGAAAAGAAGGTATAAAAACCTTCAAATCAATTTGGTCTTCCTCTATGCCTTATAATTAATGATATTATTTACCCAGATATTTACTACTAACATGATTAAAAGGGTGTTTCATTATCAATAATAATCTGAATTTGATCCATCTCTTAATTGAAGGATTATCATTACCTCATTCCCGTAACACATAAGATAGTGTACAGTAATTAATGATTTGAAAACGACGACCCAAGAGCTATGGTTTGTCCGCTCGATCAGGAGATTTGCTAATTGTGGTATAGATACATTAGGTTCGTGGGTACATTGAAGTAAATCTGGAACAAGAGAAAAATAAACACGAATAGTAATTAGAAAAAGAATAACATATGATCATTGGAAAAAGCGTATCAGTGGCATTTCTAAATACAAGGAGAATTGAAGTAAATGATGTGAGAAGAATTGAGTGACAGTTTGTTGTGAGAAAATATCAGAAGGAAGGAAAAAGAATATAACAAAAACAAAAGGAAAGACAGGAAAGATGGATAATTGGATATAAACACCTTATTCAGGTTGACATAAACATAGAGAAAGAGAGAAGGATGGTGAAGAAGAAGGAGAAAAGATGAAAAAATCTCATAGAATAACAATTATTGATGAAGTTCATCACTAGAGTTATAACCCTTTGACCTTTAACTGTTTCTTTTTCAACAAATATTCAATCTAAAGGTAAAGGTATTTTTCTTTTGCTTTCACTTTCTTCTTTTTCCTTTTTTTTTCATTCTCTTTGTCTTGTTGTTGTTATTTGAGTTTTTTCTGTAATTGTGGTGTTCATGATAGATGAAAATTGTCAGTTACTTACAATCTAAATGTTTCTTTTTAGGTCCAATAATTTCTTCCGTTGTTGCCTTACAAACAACTCGAGCCAATCCTTGTCCAGCAAGAGCATATCGGGCTGCGTTTAACCTATCATTTAATGTTTGTCCTTGTCCCGCTTTGGCCATTTCTTTGTAAATATTTTGATTATTTTAAATTAATTTAATTTAGTAAACTGTTTTTGTTGTAGTAGTAATAGTAAGGTGAATAGAAGATTAAATTATTTAAAAGGTCCAGACAGACAGAGAAGAAGAGAAGAAGAAGAGAAAAAGGAGAGACTGTAGTAAGTTGAATCACTGGAATAAGGATAGTGTAGTAGTAGAAGTTTAAACCAAAACAACAATATACATAGAAATAAACGAGAAGAAAATACTAAGATGAATTCCAAGTGAATTAGTTGATAGACACAAAAATTGTATAGAGAATCACCTGAATAATCAGAAAAACAAAAAAGAGATACAAAAATAAATGGTTACATGATCTCTACTATTCTCACTACCACCAGAGGTGGCTAAGGTTTATTACATACCCACTGTCGATTAAAATTCCCATTAGAGTCAATAAACGTTTAATAAATCAAAAGTGGCGAAAGTTTCACAATTTGGATTCACAAATTATCTCAATTTCCTAAATTGTAACTCAATATAATCTTTTAAATTGTTCAACAATTTCTATGAAATGATAAAAAGGGTTAACCAGTCAGCTGATTTTCTCTCTGTGGCGACTTCTACATTCGGCTGGAAAAAGAAGGAATTTAGTGGTGACATCTATCGGTTGATATTCTCGGTTGTTAATTACTGCGAATTTTTTTTTATTAAATTAAATGAGTGCTCGATATTTTGAACCATGTGGATAGAATTCAATATAATTAACACATCATAATATGGCTATTGATCAATGGAAAAGTTGTTCCAAAAGATTTGATTGTCTATAAGAAGAATCAAAATTTTATAATCAAGTGGTTGTTTCCACTAATCTAAACGATACAATTAATTTCGTAAAGGCCAAAGGTCGGTAGTTTGAAAGTGTTTCGTGATAGATTGATGGCCAACTTAAATCGGGAATTCTCATGGTCATTTTGCTCGATTCTCCCTCTTCAGCGACAATCTCCTCATAATAGTTAATGGACTTCGACACATTCGTACTTCTTATTTATATCCTTCCCTCAGTGGGAATTACACTTGATTGTAATAAAAGTAAATTAAACTTGGAACATAATCAAACAAATTTTGATTTCATTTCTCACATCTACTTGACCTGACAATTAACTGGAATGATCAAATCTTCTCATCTTAAAATCAGCCAATTGATTTACTTGATCAACTAAACCATCAACTGTTTTACTATTTATCAAATTGATTAATATTTTTGTTTGTTAATTACACCGAATCTTTTATTAAATTTATTAAATTAAACGAGTGTTTTGATATTTTGTACCATGTAAATGGTGTTTAATTTGACACCATTTACAATTTAGATAACATTAAATTATTTAATTGACTTTTTTTGCGCTTCTTCAATATTAATATTATTCATCATACATATTTACTTTAATATAGATTTTTGTTTTAATTTTTCTTTCGTTTTCTTTTGTTTTGTGTTTAACTTTCTTTTTTGTTTAATTTACCCGAAAATATAATTAGATCAATTTAGAATACGGCCTTTTCCTTTATGCTGAGGTCTCCATCCTTTAACTACTCCTGCTGATTTGGGTAGATTGATATCTAAATTCTGTATCAAACTAGCTAAACTTGAGTCTAAATCTCCTTTAATCAAACATCCAGTGTTTTGTGTTGACATTGGTGCAACTGAAGCCATTGCATTTGTATTAATTGTGCTATTATTTAATCCAGTAACAGAAGTGTTACTTTTCTGTGGTTGAAGTATATCACCAAAGGCATCAAATCCTGAAAAGTTAATTATAAAAGAAAAATTTGAAACAATTCCATTGAAACTATACGTTGATCATCAATAAGAACATGACCAATTTACCTGATGATGTATTTGAATTTGATGTTTGACCAAAAACAGCAGCAAAATTGGCATCAAAAACCATCGCATCTTTTACCGGTGCTGAAGAAACACCATTGGAAGACGAGGGTAAGGTTGAGGTAAGAGTTGAGTTCAAGGATGTGCCAGTATCCGCTAACCTGTAAACGAATGAACGTTGAGGGTAAGAAAAAAGAAGAAAATTAGTTTTTGTTAATCATAAATCAAATTAAATTGTTCTTACATAAGAAGATTCTCACTGGGTTTACTTGGAGCCACAACGGGCACGGTAGAGGTAAAATTGTTTGCGAATGTATCACTGTTATCAAACAGATCTAAAAGTATATCACTGGCTTTCTGTGCTACTACTGGAGTTAATTCAGGTTCCGGATCAGTTGGTGAACTGAGAAATGGATTAAATGGATTTGTAGATGATGTTGATTGATCTTGAATAGGTTTCTCCTGAAATTGAATTGAAGTCTGCTGTGAGTTGACCAATGACCAAAAATTAACGGTTATAAACAGCAACAGAGAAACAATAAATACAAAACGAAACACGCAAATAAATGTAAGAGCACGAATCAGTTTAAATGTAAGCCGGTAATTGTTTGTTTTCGTCACGCAAGAAAGAAAAAAAAATAATTAGTACATTGTAATTGGATAATTGAGAGAAAGAGAAGATGAAAGAAACGGTGTTAATTTGTATTCAAAAATCTTAAATTTTTCAATGAACTTTCATACTAACTTTTAATTGATTGATAAATTGAGCTTCTTCTTCGAGAGCTTTTTTAACCAAATCATCAATACCTCCTTCACTTGGTGGTTCAAAATTGGATAATGGCGTTGAAGTGGTTGAAACTCCTTGAGAAGAGTAGAAAGCTTCTTTTGTGCTGATGTTTTCATTATAACGAGATGATAATTTGACAGTGTGACCAGAAAACAATTTACATGAAAGAGAAAGAGAATAAAAAGATAAATTAATCGCTGATTTAAAGAGATTCATAATGATTAAATGACTTAAGTGCTTATAGCTTAAAGCATAAGAAAATAGGAAACTTTATCAACCATCATGATAGTTAAACTGAGTGAGTAAGAGAGATAGAGAGAGAGAAAGAGAAAATCATTCATGTTCAGTAGACCAGGTCAACAGGAAGGGATATTGGTTAATAAGGTAAGAAGATGATCAGGTTAGTGAGTAAGATGATGATGCAGAATAAGAGTGAAAGTGAACGTTGCAAATAAAAAGCCGAACGTTTCACTTTTCTTAATGGAAGCAAATAAACAATCAATAGAATTAATTCTCATTTGGTTTCAATGGTTAATTGATTGTCAAGATTAATCAATAAAACATATGAATAAGTTATGTAAATGCAAGCAAATTAGACGACAATTATAACTAAATGAATTAATTATAATTGTTATTTTGGTTATGTTGATATTTCATCGAGGTGAAGATGATCGTTAACTGTGTTCATTTGTGAAAAGTAATTAACTGAATAAACTGATTTTGGAAATGCTCAATCACAATTAGACATTCTAACCATATACAGAGTTAATTGTGGTTTTTATTTTTTTCTTCCCCACTTTGGTTCATCATCTGCTTCAAATCAAACTGAGCTGTGTCATCAACACAATCAATTACTGGTTCAACATTAATTAATTGATTTTCTGGTTGAAAATAACAGAAAAACTTAACATTAAATCATTCAGTCGAAGACTAAATAATAACAACGCTTAGAGAACAGTTAAATGCACACAACATCGCGATTTTCTGAACAAACCAACAATTAACTTCCTAATCTTCGCAGAGTGAAAATAATCAAATTTGATTACCTTTTGCCCTTCTTACCACCTTCTATAGCTTGAAGGTGTTGCTCAAGTGCCTCTAGAAGAGAGGAAGGTGCCTTGGTTAAATCTGGAATTTCACCTTTATCGATACCAACATTTTCAGCAACTTTTAAAAATTCAGCTACTCGGTCCATTCGAATGAGGAACTTTTTATATATCTCCAAAGCATCTCGACATTGTTTCTTGTTCATGTCGAAAAATTTTTCCAACAAATTGATTATTCCATCATTGTAACAAGCAAAAAGCCGAATCAGGTCTCTGAATAAGAGCATGAATGCTGCATTAATTACACCATTATTCAAATTATTTGCTGGACAATCAAATTCAAGTAGTCCATCGATTTGACTTTGTAATACAGCTAAAGTTTTAAGAAGCTTTTCCGAAGGCATAGTTCGTAAGAATCCATCTTCTTTTCCTCTCTTGATTTTAGCGAAATCGAATGCCACAGTTCGGTATGATAAAGCTTTCTCATTAATATACTTGGAATATCTTTTGATATAAGTTGACATGTCATAGCCTTTTAGGTTAGTCCTGTCAAGGAAATTATTCAACTGGAAGGTACAGTTATTAGACGCTAAGTACTGGGTGAAACGCTGAATCCAATTGGCCAAAAATAGAGAAGAGAGAGAAAAAAATAAATATAATTAATAAGCAAATTGTACAAGGAGAAAACATTTCACAGGTAAGAGTCTGAATCAAAACGAGAGCTTAACGACAAACTTAACAACCTATTTTTTTATAACTAATGTTATTGAAACCGGCTTTTGATAAAAAAATAAAACCAGTAATCAAGATCTCAATATTAATTGGAAATAATAAATATATTTGATAGTGGGACGAAAGAGCAATTGTTTAGATCTAGATTGTTTGGTTGATAGAAAGTGAAGAAATTTTAACAACTAAAAAATATATGATCAACCTTACAATCAATTGATTTGTGTACAACATTTGTTTCAATAATCAAAAATCAAGGGGTGTTTTGTCCTATCTAATCAATTAGATTTAATCTAGCCCTTAATTTATTATCTGTTAAAATGAATCAAGATAAATCATCGTTATTACCTCATTCCCATAACACATAAGATAGTGTACAGTTATTAGTGCTTTGAAAACGACGACCCAAGAGCTATGGTTTGTCCGCTCGATCAGGAGATTTGCTAATTGTGGTATAGATACATTAGGTTCGTGGGTACATTGAAGTAAATCTGGAACAAGAGAAAAATAAACAAGAATATTAATTAGAGAATAAAAAAACAGTTCAGGAATAAGACAATCAGTTTTCATTGTTAAG